TTCTTTTCTTCTGTGTTTCAGCAGATGTTGGTCTGCAGAAGGTCCTACAGGAACATAAGATCAGTCTGAGGAGGAGATGTGAATGTGTGACTGAAGGAAGTGATGAAACAGGAAGTAGAACCCTCCTCAACAGGATCTACACTGATCTCTACATCACAGAGGGACAGAGAGAAGATGTTAACACCCAGCATGAGGTGAAGCAGCTGGAGAGAGTTTCCAAGATCCAGAACCTCCAAGACTCTCCAATCAGGTGCCATGACATCTTTAAAACCTTCCCTGACCAACATGGAGTCATCAGAGTGGTTCTGACCAATGGCGTCGCTGGTGTTGGAAAAACCTTCTCAGTGCAGAAGTTTACTCTGGACTGGGCCGAGGGCTTGGAGAATCAAGATGTCAGTGTGGTGGTTCTGCTTTCGTTCAGGGAGCTGAACTTGATCAGAGATGAGCAGCACAGTCTTCTCTCACTGCTCCATGTTTTCCATCCAACACTCCAGAAGCTCCCAGCAGAGCAGCTGGCTAAATGCAAACTGCTCTTCATCTTTGATGGCCTGGATGAAAGCAGACTTTCACTGGACTTCAACAACAGTCCACTGGTTTCTGATGTCACACAGAAGTCATCAGTCAACGTTCTGCTGACAAACCTCATCAAGGGGAACCTGCTTCCCTCGGCTCTTATCTGGATAACTACCAGACCTGCAGCGGCCAATCAGATCCCTCCTTCATGTGTTACCAGGGTAACAGAAGTACGAGGCTTCACCGATGCCCAGAAGGAGGAGTACTTCAGGAGGAGGTACAGTGAAGAAGAGCTGTTCAGCAGAATCATCTCCCACATCAAGAAATCAAAACCTCTCCACATCATGTGTGGAATCCCAGTCTTCTGCTGGATCACTGCTACGGTTCTGGAGAACATGTTGACCTCAGAGCAGAGAGGAGAGCTGCCCAAGACCATGACTGACATGTACTCACGCTTCCTGCTGATCCAGACAAAGAGGAAGAAGAACAAGTACCATGGAGGACATGAGACAAGTCCACAGGATCTGATGGAGGCTGACAGGGAAGTTCTTCTGAAGCTGGGGAAACTGGCGTTTGAACATCTGAAGAAGGGAAACATCATGTTCTACCAAGAAGACCTGGAGCAGTGTGGTCTGGATGTCACGGAGGCCTCGGTGTACTCAGGAGTTTGTACAGAGATCTTCAAAAGAGAGAGTGTGATCTTCCAGAAATCAGTTTACTGCTTTGTTCATCTGAGCATCCAGGAGTTTCTGGCTGCCGTCTACATGCTCCACTGCTTCACCAGCAGGAGGTCAGAGGTCATCAAGACGTTCCTGGGAGAAGAATACAATGAAACATCTCTAGATGAGTTCATGAAGAAAGTCATGGAGAAATCCCTCAGCAGTAAAAATGGCCACCTGGACCTGTTTGTCCGCTTCCTTCATGGTCTCACTGTCGAGTTCAACCAGAGACTCTTAGGAGGCCTGCTGGGTCAGACAGAGAACAGTCCAGAAACCATCCAGAGAATCATCAACAATCTGAAGAAGATGAACTCTGATGAAATCTCTCCTGACAGAAGCATCAACATCTTCCACTGTCTGGTGGAGATGAACGACCTCTCAGTGTTTCAGGAGATCCAGCAGCTCCTGGAATCAGGGAATAAACTGTCAGTGATCCAGTGTTCAACTCTGGCCTTCATGCTGCAGATGTCAGAGGTTCTGGATGAGTTGGACCTGGAGAAGTACAACACATCAGAATCAGGACGACTGAGACTGGTTCCAGCTGTGAGGAACTGCAGAAAGGCTCGGTGAGTCCAGATGTTTTCATCATGTGAATGCTGATTCAGCACTATTGTCCTCCTGTTTCTTCTTCTTTCTTCAAGTTGATTCTGGATGTTTTTGGCCTTTAACTACTTCCTTCATCCTCTGGATGATTTCAGCCATTCAAACATCTAAACATTCAGTTCATCCAGGACAGCTGCAGCTTCTAGTTTTTTAGACATTTTGATCATTTAAAAATATTTAACTTTTTATCAGTTTTCAGGTTGAAAGGAATAGAAATCCCTGAACTCTAGAAAATGTCTATTTCCTCTCAGATCCAATCAGCCAGAGAGACTTTTTAAACTTTAAACTCTCTTCACTCGTTGAGCTGCAACTCCATAATTCACCTTTTAGGATCTTTGACTGTTTTTATAAAATAATTGTTTAGGTTTGATGGAAAGTTGAACCATTAAAATAAACTTTGTGAACAGTGTTGATCTTCTTCATCCCGTCATCATCCTCTCCTCTTCCTCCTCCACTAGTTTCCTCTGAGTTTGTAACTGAGACCAAAATGTGGTGATTGTTGTCTGGTTCCAGAAAAAGTCCTAGTTTCTGTCAGATCCTCCCAAAGTTTTGAGAACTCTGCTTCCAGAGCTGGAACCATTTTCCTCATCAACTCTTCATCTGCAGCCTTTGTTGAAGCTGTTAGCTGTCCTCCATGAAGACCTGCAGAGACATGAGCTTCACCTCTTTAGACATCCCAGCCTCTTTAGTTCTGGAGAACTTTCACTGCTCCACCATGAAGATGCTGCTGGACCCAAACGCTCCGTCTCCTCCAGGGGTTTTGCTCTTCAGCTCTTTAGGAGTTTAGCAACAATTTCTTCTGATATCCAAACCTTTGTTCCTCTGAGACGATGGACAGACCACTGCAGAGACACGTGTCCCTCTTCCAGCCAGTTTGTCCCAGTTCCTCTCAGGTCAACAGAGGACGGTCCAGACCTGAAGGAGCAGCAGGACCGGTTCTGCTGCTGCTCCGCAGGACGACCAGAACAATCTGAAGCTTTTAGCTGAAGCAGGTTGACGACTGTCCACTTTCTGCTTTGTTACAGCATCAAATCCAGCAGATAAACAGAGACACAACTGGGAGCATCATGTGTCTGGTCTGCTCCCAGTTTCCTCTGTGGCAGCATTTAATAATCTGCTGCTGGGAGCCATGTTTCTATAGAATATACTACTATTATTAATGAGGAGGAGGATTCTAGATGCTGCAGCAGGAGATATGGGCTAAACAAACCCAGAGATGCCAGAGGTCCACAGCAGGCTGGACTTCCTGCTCTGCTCACTTCATTTATAACTCACTTCCTGCTTGGCTGTGGAAGATCTCAAGGAGCCAAACGGTCTAGTCCAAGTCAGTGTGAGTCAGAGCTGTGAGCAGTTCCTCCTCCTCTCCATCATCTCCAGTAGTTTCCTTCATTCAGCTCAGTCAGCCTCTTCATCAGCTGCTGCAGCTCCTTTAAGGCTCTGATCCTTCAGAGAAAACTGAACTTTCCTTCACAGATGATAGAAGATCTTCAACATCTGACTAAGCTGAAGGTCTGAGGACATGAAGCCTGGACCAGAACCAGAACCAGAACCTGGACTTTAGTCAGGAACTGCACAGACTCTCTGTCGGGTCAAATTCAGTAACCTGAAGATCAGATGTTGATCAGATGATGACATCACTGTTATCATATTTTATCTGTTTATGATCCAGATTGATTTCATTAGAACTGAATTTATTTCTTCTCTCATCACAGACTTGGTAGCTGTTTGATCCGAAAGGCTGAATGTGAAGTTTTGGCTTCAGCTCTGAAGTCCAACCCAGATCTGACTGAACTGGAAATCAGTGAGATGAACATATATAAAGCTGGAGACTCTGATATGAAGAATCTGTTTGAGATCCTGGAGAGTTCAGTCAGTAAAGTGGAGAAACTGGGGTTTGTTTTCTCTATTTACACAATAAAATAATTTATTGATACTTTAATCCTTAGTTTAATTAATAATTTAGTTGTAATATTTAAAAACAATATTTTTAAATGTCAGAATAAAATCTCAAACATTTTACTTTATAAATGAATTGTTTTCTTACTTTAGACTTTGAGATTATTGAACTTTCTTTGCAGTTTTTCTCTTTAAAATGTTTTTTGCTGATGAACAAA